GACTCCCGGGGAGATCACAACCCCTCGGCTCCGCCACGTGGAACTCGGGTGCCCGACACCGGCAGCTCCCCGCGCGGTGCCACCTCCTCCGATACCGAGGGGGGCCCGCTGCACTGTCTGTGGCAGCGAGGGTCGGCGGTGGCTTGGGAGCGGGAGTGGAGGCGCGGGAGGATCAGGTCGTCCGAAGCGAAGCGGGAGGCGGCTCTTCCTGGTGTCGGGAAAGGAAACAGAAAGTAGTCGCTCAGTCGGGGAGAAGGATGTCCGAGCTGTGTCCACTTTGTCAGTTCACCCAAAACAAAATTGAAAGAGGGACTTGACCTATCATCTCGCCTTCCTGGGAGTGGAACACAACCTGTATGAATGCAGTAACGAAGGACGTTTCAAATGGTGTCCTCTGAGCTCCCGAGAAGGTGGGCAGGAGTTAAGGTCTGACCACCTGCTTGGCATTGTGGGGGATGAAAATTAAGTGTAAGATGTGACTGTATTTTGCAGGTGCTAAATGGAAAGAATGCTAACTTGGGAGCCAGACAGGGTTGGGTTCTGGTAAAAAAGAAAAGAAAGAAACAGACCCGAGGTGGGATCACTTGCTCCCTTGAGGGTAAAACAAGACTTAATTGCAGTTTCAGCCCCTCCCAGGTGTGGAATATTGGACTGTAATTTCCTCGTGGACACTAGACAGGTTCCCTGCATAAGAGCCCCTGTCACGCTTCCCCACCAACACTGGTCAACTGGCCTGAAACAATATTTTCTTTTGCTGATAACTTTTTATATACATATCGTTGTATGCACCCCAGGCCACCAACACAGGCTTCGAGCTAGGATGCACTAACTTTGTCCCTGACTGATAGAAGAGCAACACCCACCATAATGTGTCTCCTTGCCCATGGCCAGCGGGTGCTAATAACTTTCTTATCTGGCCCAGTTTCCTATAAGAATCTTGCACTTTATACTACTCAGCGCAGGTCTCTTATTTACGAGGTGGGATGCTGCACAATTCATGAATCACTAATAAAGCCAATTAGATCTTTAAACTTATTTGGTTGAATTTTGTTTTTTTTAACAGATTCTTTTCCTGTCCTGCCACTTACAAAGGCTCTGTGACCTTGGGAAAGTTTGGCTTCTCAGTTCTTCAGCTACGTGATTTTTTTAAGTACAGATGGTTGTAAAAATGAGAGATGCCTATAAGACCCCTAGTATGGTGCCTAATACATAACTATTCAGTAAATGAAGTGAACTGAAGAACTGATCATTCCCTGTGCAGTTTAATAGCAGCCGATGGAAGATAGAGCACCAGTACCCCCTCCTACCTGTTGCTGGAAAATTGCAATAGAGATGTTTGTGACCTTACACAGTCTTTGGTGGCAAAATGGCATGAAACTTGGCCCATACTGGAGAAGACTTGTCCCTGCAACCTAAGCAACCAAGTTTCAGTGGCTCTTTCTCTCTTTAGTGGCAGCTGAGCACTTGGAAGCCAGTGGTCTCATCTGGTGCTTCTAATGCCATAATGAGGATGGCCACGCTGGGAGAGAGGGGAGGTCTGGGGATATATGTGAGGCAATGTGTCGTGATGCAAAAGACCCAGGCAGCGCTCAGGTTACAAGTACAAGCTCTGATGAGTCAACCGGAGAATTGTAAGAGATGTGCTTGACTCAAGCAGGCCAGCTGGATGTCAATTCATGGTCAAGTTGCTGAAGAAACCTGAAAACAGTGGGAAATTGCAGGGCAGTGTTGGAAAGAGAGTAATACCTTCATTTCCTGACCAACTTATTTAATGTTCCAGAGTAGGGAAGTGGTTCTTCATGACATAGCTGGGATGTTGAGAAACTGTATGTATATAAATATCGGTGATATTGAGAAGAAAAATGACCATGTAGAGAGAGATAAGGAATGGGTTGAGAGATTGAGTTGAGGAAAGGATTAGAAGCTATTAGTTCTGCACTTGCTACAATTATATGTGGAGATCTAAGGCTCTGAAAGTTTCCAAAGTGAGAAACAGTTAATGGCTATTTTCATCCAAGAAGGTTTTTTGGGTTTTTTTTTGGAAAGGATTGTGAAGAAAACTGTACTTACCACGTATTGAGCTTTGGACTAGATGCTTACATGTTATCGTATTTGGTCTTTACAGTGGCGTGGCCTGAGGATGCAGGTGGTATTACCTACATTTTGTAGATTGAAAAAAATGAGACTGAGAGAGATTAAGCTCTTTGTCCAAGGTCACACAAGAATGGTTAGAGAATGGCTATTGTTAAATGGCCTCCCCAAATAAGTGGTTGATACTTTAATGTTATTGTCACAAATTTGTAAAATGATCGTGCTAATGCCCATCTTAGTGGTAACGGTATTTTGTTGATGAAGACGTGTCTTGCAGCTTTTTTTACTGCCGATTCCTAAAGAAAACGAAAAAATCAAGAAAGCCAAGGCAAAATGGAACAGAACTCTTTTGTTATTATGGCAACCATTGGTCTAGGGTGGAGGACATGGCAGTTTAGATATTTGTCCTATGAGTTGCAAGCTGTAGGTAGAAGACTTTGGCATGTGAGTATGAAGCATTGCTCATCAATTTCTACCCACAGTGTCAGATTCTCAGTCATTGTTGGTCCTTCCCCTCCTGTTAAGCAGCTGGAGGCAGGCTGCTCACACCCTCTTTTCTGTGGGTTGTGTTTCACACGTAGTCATTTTAGTACATTATAAAACTCAACTCATATAAGGCCTTCGGCTCAAAGGCTATTGGAGGAGTGGCAGAGAGGGCAGGAGGGGCTTTGTAGCTGTTGTAGATTAGGGTGCTGCGGGGTTCAGTCAGGGCCTCGGTCAGGCTGTTGACCTGCTTTGGCTGTGGTGCTCTTGTAGTAAGTGTGGTCCTAAGGCTGTTGGTTTCTTTTCTAGCTGGTTCTAGTGAGCCCTACGTCAGAGCAGTATGACAGCCTACTTCGGCAGATGTGGGAGAGGATGGACGAGGGATGCGGAGAGACCATATATGTCATTGGGCAGGGATCAGGTGAGCATAGTTTTCCTTTCACTTTATTTTTTAAAAAATATTTAGAGCACATTTCCCATCTTTTACCCATTTTTTTTGTTCAGTGTCTGCAGAACTGTTTGGGAGGATATAAAAGTATAATGTGATCATGTTCATCCCCACCTTTTTGGTCATAATATGCTTGACTTGAAAGATTCACTTTCCAAGCGGTTTTACAGATGCCTCTTTTCTACCTCCATCTGCATGAAGGGGAATGAAGCACAAAGCCAGGAAACTTCTTGTCCCAGGTGTAGAGCAAGCCACAGGCCTAGGATTCAGCCTTCCCTGGGCAGCTCTAGTCTTCCCCTCCAACCCAGTTTACAGATCCCATTGCTACTTACTGTCTGCTTAGCAGAGAACTTATGTGGTCCTTCTTGATATCAGCAAGGAGGAGACACCCGGAATTCTTCTCTTCAGCAAGGCTGTCTTGCCCCAGACCACACTGACCGCTCAGTCTTGCACACTGACCACTCAGTGTGGGTAGTTGTGCTAACAGAAGCCCTCTCTTCTCCCCATGAGATCCCATCAGACATGTAGACGTGGTAGCATTCTGGAAGGAACTGGTTATTGTACTCCGGCCTGCTTATTCCGTTGTAATGGGGCTGTTTTGGAGGAAGGCAGCTTCCATAACAGAATCCCACATTATGTCTTGGGTATTTCCCCCCGAGTCATTCCTCCTCTGTCCTTTCAATACAAGGCCTACTTACTTTATCTTCATTATGGCATTATGCTGAAATGACAGCTGGGCTTGATAATGATTATGAATTTAGCCTGAACCAGAACTGGTCTGTCATCTTTGCAGGAAGCCTCAGGAGGGCTTGGTACATCATTAAAGGAACAGCTCTCTTTGTGAATGTAGGCTTTGTAAAGGCAGATAATAATTCCTTTGTTGACTGAGTTTAAGATGGAGAAGATCTCAATATCATTCTTTATTTGGCTAATACCTATTAAGTATCTTCTAAGGGCTTGATACTGTTGCAAAGTAGTTTTGGATACTAAAATCTGATCTCTGTCCCAGGGAGGAAAGATAGCATATATACAAATGACCTCAGTAGAGAATAGTATTTGGAAATGGTCAAAAGTGACACAAAGAAGAAGGGCTCGATCTCCAGTTACTGCTGTGCCTTCCTTTGAAATGTGTTTCTTATCTATCCTTCCCTTTCCATCTTTGCTGCCACCGCTTGGTTTTGGTCTTATCACCCTTTGCATGTCAGGAAGGGGAGTTGGTTAGCATTGTCAAGTGCTAGAGAGACAGCAAGGAGAGTTGGGTTCAGAAAAAGCCATTCATTTGGTGACTAGGGGGTCATTGCTAGCTTTTTGAAACCTTTGTGGCAGGTACACACTAGGCCTGCTGTGATAGGATGAACCATCAGAGACCACTTCCTGCTTGTGGAACTGAAGAAACCACATCTAGCTCAGTTTTGACAAGTGGTGGGACTGTTCTTTGAAGACCCAGATCCCTAACACACCTTCCTCTGCCCCCAGTTCTTTAATGTGGACTCTTAGTGAATTTTCCCGTACCCTGGCGGCTGACAACTAATTAACCCGTTCATGGCAAAGCATAAGATGTCAAACATTCATTAACACATTACACACCCAGGCATTATCTTTGCATCTATCAACTGGATGTTATTAGATTCACAGTGACTCCTTCCTGCTGGAATTATTTAGAGGTCTGTAACTAGTTAAACAAGCTGAACATCAAACAGAGGACTAAGCCAGATGCAAGGCCCCAGGGGCCGGCTTCAGCACCTGCTTCCTGTGTGTGCCTGGCGCCACACCTCTGTTTATCACATCCTTTGCCTGTAAAATGAGGATAAATACATCCTTCCCCACCCTCCTTCTGAGACATTTTGTATGAATAAACTGGCATTAAACATTCGAAGCAGCATAGAGGAATGTGCTCTGTAAGTACACATTCGTACTCTAAGATGGATCTTATAAAAGGGGCGATCTGGCCCAGGAGTAAGTTCAGGTTCTGGAGTCTGGCAGGTCTGAATTTGCCTCCTGGCTCTAAGTTATCTTTTTTTTTTTTTTTTTAATATATTTTATTGATTTTTTACAGAGAAGAAGGAAGAGGGACAGAGAGTTAGAAACATCAATGAGAGAGATCGATCAGCTGCCTCCTGCACGCCCCCCACTGGGGATGTGCCCGCAACCAAGGTACATGCCCTTGACCGGAATCGAACCTGGGACCCTTGAGTCCGCAGGCCGACGCTCTATCCACTGAGCCAAACCGGTTCGGCTAAGTTATCTTAAAAAGGGGAGAGTAGTAGTGTCATGGTGAAGGTTAACACTTGGCACATAGTGAGCATTATATAAGCGTTAGCTACTATTAATAGTTGCAGTAATAATTTTTTAAGGGTTCCAGGTATAGTTGATTTGCCATGAGATTGCTGTCAAAAGAATCTTATTAATTTTTTAAAATATATATTTCATTGATTTTTACAGAGAGGAAGGCAGAGGGATAGAAGAGTTAGAAACATCAGTGAGAGAGAAACATCGATCAGCTGCCTCCTGCACAACCCCTACTGGGGATTGAGCACACAACCAAACTACATGCCCTTGACCGGAATCGAACCTGGGACCCTTTATTCCGCAGGCCGATGCTCTATCCACAGAGACAAACCGGTGAGGGCAGAATCTTGTTAATTTGTCAGATATTAAGTTACAACTTTCTAAGAGCCAGGTTCTGTATTAAAAGCTCAGGGAACAAAGGAGGAGGAGTATGAAGTCTTTGTGGAGAGTCAGGAAAAGCTTCAAAGAGGATGTGACCCTTGAGTGGGTTCTGAAAGAGGAGCAGGAGTTTTCTGGGCGAATGAAGGCAGTGTGAGTGCGCAGAGGCAGCCGCAGGCAAGAGGCAGCGGCCATGGAGGAGCATGTGTTGGGCCAGTGGTGGGCCAGTAAAGCAGGAGTGTAGTGTGTGAGGCTGGGAGTGCCAGTCAGGAGGGTCCTTGAGTGCCATTCCAAAGAGTTTAGGCTTTTATCCTGAAAGTTCGGAGAACCTTGCCTCACGTTGAGCAGGAGAGTGCGTGTAGAAAGGGTAAGTCCGATGGCAGGACTGAAGTCGCACTGAGGGTCAGGTGTGGGTGAATGTGGCCTTTAGTAACTGGACCGCTGCGGCTTTTCTCCTTGGCCTTCATCTCCGCTTCTGCCGCGTGAGGACTGCAGTGCATGCGGAGAAGGGGAATGTGATGGGGCATTTGACCACCTCGGAGCTCTGGCTGGACGAGGTGGTATTGGTCATTGCCCCAGCTGTGGAACAGGACCTGAAAACATGGCTTTTCGTTGGGTCAGAATCAAGAAACAGTGGCTAGAATTTGAGGATCTGGCAAGAATGGCAGGATTAGCAGGCTTTCTCCAAGGAACACTTCCAGCAAGTTCTCTGACCCAGACGTCCAGAGCTCAGTTGACCCTGCGTTTAGAAACTCCTCAGCCCAACTGCTCCTTCTTTGTGCACTTGGTTCAAATTTTACAGGCACTGAGAACTTCGTGTAGGAGACGCATCCCACCTGGGGGATCCCGGGAATGTTTGCGTTTGACTCCTTTCCTGGAGATGCTAATGGATAGTGAGGGAAGACGTGCATCCAAAACACTGTTCCACAAGGCGTAGTGTGTGGAAATGCCCTAAGTGAGCAGGATAGGTAGGAGATGTGCTCGTGGGTTTTGTAGGAGAGGAAATACATAAGCAAAGGTGTGGAGCTGGAGAAGTACAGGGAACATGGGAGGGATGGTGACTGGGTTGCTTGCACTGGGACAGAACTGAGGGGGTGTGGAACCAGAGGGGAGGCCTCTAAGGAATTGAAACTGAACCTGCTGGGCCTGGGAAGCCATTCCCAGGCTTTGACGAGGGCGTGACAACATTAGAGCTTCTTTGTCTAGGAGCACGGACTTGTGTCCACGCAGGATGGGCTGGAGGAACAGAGATGGATTTGCTAAGACCAGTTAGGGGTCTGTGTGGTGACTGAGGTAGAATCAGGGCCTGAATCAGACTTGTGGCAGCGGGTTGGCCAAAAGAGTAGAAGGGCAGGTAGGAAGCTAGAATCAGCGGGACCGGAGTGATGAGTATTCCGCTGGGGTGACTGGGAGGATGGTGCTGTCTTCAGAAATAGGGAAGGCAAGAGGAGGAACTGGTCTGGCATAAGAGGAACCCCGGCCAGAGGAAAAGGCTCTGGGTTTGGAATCAGAAGACCTAAGCTCACAGCCCCTCAGCGCTCGGCCAGCTCTGAGTCCTCTCTGGGTTCTGTTTACCTCAGAGGGTTGCAGTGAGGACTAAAGTGACTTATTAATGGTGTTAGTTTTTGTGCTGTTGTTTAAAGGGAGGGGCTTGGGTTGTTTGGTTTAGACATCAGGCTTCTAAGAGTCATCCAGGCAACTGGGAATTCATTCTAGAGTCCTGAGAAGAGGACAATGCTAGAAATGAAAGGGGTTATTCATTTATTTATTTATTTATTTATTTTGTAGGTTTTTAAATGACAGTTGAAGCCATAGTATGAGATAGTCAAGGGGAATGCTCAGAGGATAGAGAAGAGGGCCCCTGACTGGCTACTGGAAAAGCCTGGCGTTTAAGGACAGGAGCAGGAAGAGCCACAGCGTAGACAGAGAAAAGAGCCAGAGAGCAGGAGGGGAATCAGGAGAGTTCATGCGCTCGGCACGCAGGGTGGAGGGAGGCGAGCAGTGGCAAATACTCTTGTGGTCGAGAAAGGGGCATCGGATGAGGGGTTAGAAAGCCATTGATGACTTGACAACTACATAGGTTTTTCTAGCGTTAAAAGATTCCGGGTAGGATGGTGATAGTCAGCAAGTCTCAATTACTCTTTTGAGATGCTCGGTGGTAAAGGAGGAACAGAGGAGATGGTAGACAAGCAGGGGGAGTGAGGATGGGTTTCCTTTTCCTAACTGAGGAATGCCTGAGCTTGTCCGTACGGGGAGAAGGAGGAGGAAAAGGAAGAGAGGGTGCGAGAAGGTGCTTCAAGGTGTTTGGGAGGCAGTAGAAGAGATTAGGCCCCTGCTGGCGGATTAGCCTAGGGCAGGCGCAGGGGTGTCTCAGAGACAGAGGCTGGAGGAGAAGCTGAAGGAGCTATTGTGGAAGTTATGACATCGAGTGGAAAGCACTGATGGGAATTGTCATCAATAGACTCTCAATAAATGATTGGTTAATTGGTTCCTCCCTTCCTCATCCTGAGCTCAGACTCATTTTTCCATCTACTTGCTGGACATTTCACTGGAGCTACCTCAGTCAAAATTCTATTTCTAAAATCATCCTTAACTCTCCCATTTCCCTTTGTCTCCCGTCCTCATTATTGCTTGCCGGGTTATGAGAACGACTTCCTAACTGGGCTCCCTTTCTGGTCTCTCACTTGTCGGTGTACACTTTTTACCGCTGCCCAAGAGACCCTTCTAACCCGCAGCCATCGGGTCATGTTACTCCCTTGCCTAAACCCCCAAGGCTTCCCATTGCCTGGTGCATCATGTGTTTTGCTGCTAATGTCTGTCTGCTTAACCGCTTCCACCTCTTGTGTGGTCTCCTGCCACTTGCCATCCTGCTCCCCAGCACACCGAGCTGCTCCTGGTCCCTGAATGTGCTGTGATCTGCAATGCTCCATGCTTAGCCTCTCTGCCTGGGACCTTTCCTCCTTTCTCTGCAGCACCCTGCAAAGCTGCCCTCCGCTTCCCCAGGCAGTGCTAGTTGCTCAAACTTTACATTCTCTTTGTACAGTTCTGTAGTATAATATTCAAGCTGTATTGCCATTAATTAATTTCCTGTCTCTCCCACTGGGCTGTGAGCTCGCTAAGGGCACCTGTATTCCCAGGACTCAGCATGAGGCTTGGCATAAAACCCAGGAGAGTCTCAGTGATTACTGTTGAATGAATTAATGAGTGTCTTGCTTAATGGGGAGGCCTGTGGCACTATTATTTATTAACTCCGCATGTGCCCAAGGTTTTTAAAAGTGTCAAATAGAGAGAGCCATGTTCTCTGGTGCCTAGGGTGGGGCCTTGGTTAGGGCTAGACTGTCTGGCTTGTTGGAACACTGATGCCTGGGCTCTTGTCACCAGATGGGACTGAGTACGGGCTGAGTGAAGCGGACATGGAGGCCTCCTACGCCACAGTGAAAAGCATGGCAGAACAGATAGAGGCCGACGTCATCCTCCTGCGGGAACGGCAGGAAGCTGGGGGCCGCGTGCGTGATTACCTGGTCCGGAAGCGAGTAGGAGACAATGACTTCCTGGAGGTCAGGTGAGGAGGCCTCAGAAGTCCCTGCCCCTGACACCTAGCGTGTCAGCTTCACCCCTTCCCTTTGAGTCATGGAGAGTGTCCAGAGACACCATAGCACCTTTGTCTATTCCGGCACTTCCCCATCCCTAACTGTTTCCACTTGGGAAGAGTGGGAGCGAGGCCAGCCATTCATTCTGTGGGCTGCATTGTCTTATCGGCCTGTGAGTCTAGAAAGCCGGGTGATGGAGGAGGCATTTTGTGCCTGTCTTGGTCTGGGGCCCCTCTCCAGCAGCTTTGGGGAAGCGAGTGGGAGTTAAGGGAGAAAGCCACTGTGGTGGGAGCCCAGCTCCTCCTGCATAGCCCTTCCTGCTCCCTGGAGAATACCTCCAGGCACGTTCCCACAATGCTTATCCAGGAGTAGGAGGAGCAGTGAGCTGGAGAGGCTCAGGAGCAAGCCTGTCCCTACAGACTCCGTTGGTGCGTTTCCCTTCACTCACCCACTGACTCTCATGTGGATGTGTGGCTTCATGTACCCGCAGGGTAGCGGTAGTGGGCAACGTGGATGCTGGCAAAAGCACGCTTCTGGGGGTCCTGACACACGGGGAGCTGGACAATGGCCGAGGCTTTGCCCGCCAGAAACTCTTCCGCCACAAACATGAGATCGAATCTGGTCGCACCAGCAGTGTGGGCAACGACATTCTGGGCTTTGACAGCGAAGGCAATGTGGTGAACAAGCCAGACAGCCACGGGGGCAGCCTGGAGTGGACGAAGATTTGTGAGAAATCCACTAAAGTGATCACCTTCATTGACTTGGCTGGCCACGAGAAGTACCTGAAGACCACGGTCTTCGGCATGACGGGCCACCTGCCTGACTTCTGCATGCTCATGGTAAGTGCGGCGCCCCCGGGCAGGCTTCAGCGGACGTGGAGGGTGTGGTGGTGTGCACGGGTTCAAAATTGTTCTGAGGCTGAAGCTGTTGGTTTGGGGCTTTGACACTGGTAAGGATGACAATTTTGCCCAGGTCCCCTGAGCTCTACAGTCATCTCAAGGGTGTAACTTGATTTCCTAGGTGAGGCTCGGAAGGGATCCCCTAAGGAAAAGCCAGGGTATATGCAGACCTCTCATTTTTTGGAGAGACACAGAGGAGGGTTTCTCCTGGGGGTTACTTACTGCCTTTAGAAATGTTTTCTTCCGGGGTTGGGCTACTTTGAGGAGGTGGCACCAGGGGGAACCCTCAGAGAGGGGGGCCAGAGGGACGGAATGGAGGAGAGCACAGACAGCAGTCAAGAGGCGCCTGAGAGGTGGCCTCTTCCGGAGCCTGGAATGACTGTACATGTTGAGAGGATGCTGCGTGCCTGACACCGTGCCGGGCCTGGGGAGGCAGCAGCGAACAGGGCCGGCCTGGGCTCCGGAGAGCTTACAGCCCGGTAGGAATGGATTTTTGAGCAGCTCATTTATGTAGAGGAACTGAAAAGGAGAGGGAGCAGAGGCCTGTGCTGGATCATGTTGCTAAGCTTGTATTTGGGTCCCTTTGGTCTTCCTCCCTGGACAGAGGGGGTCTGTGAGGCCCACAACCTTGGTGGCAGCCTCACAGCTTTCCCAGACAGAACCAGCAAGCACGTGTTCCTTCTGCAAGTCCTCGAGGCCCTTCCCCAGGCCCCAGTCCCTCCAGCTGCTTGCATTAATAAGTGTCGTAAACGCAAGCATCTGTTCAGAGCAAGCGCCATCAGGTTGTCCCACAAACACAGGTTCTCAGGCGAAGTCTCCCCAGATGAGACTAAAGGGAGGCGGCGCATCTGGATGAACACTCTGTGGGCTCTCTGCCCAGGGTTCTTGGGCTCTCAGTGTGGTTCCATTTCCTGTATCTTTGATCATTGCAAGGGGCCATGACCAGCCTGGACTGGGCTAAGGGAACATGCTCTCTAAGAAGGGGTTTCTATGGATGGTCCTTAGGGCATATGGGGGTGGTATTAAGAAAGGTATAGCCCTGGCCGGTTTGGCTCAGTGGATAGAATGTCAGCCTGCGGACTGAAGGGTCCTGGGTTCGATTCCGGTCAGGGGCACATGCCCAGGTTTCAGGCTTGATCCCCAGTGCAGGGTGTGCCGGAGGCAGCTGTTCAGTGATCCTCTCTTATCATTGATGTTTCCATCTCTCCCTCTCTCTTCCTCTCTGAAATCAATAAAAATATATTAAATAAAAAAAAAAGAAAGGTATAGACATCAGTCAGTTTAAAATGAACACTTTTCTAACAGAGCTACAGTGAGAAAGGCCAATTTTTGGAAACATCTTCACTCATATGAAATGTTAAATATTATCTGACTTTTGGGCCAGATACAAATATTAAAATTTTCTGTAGAAAATAATGAAATATTTGATTATTATTCTATGGCAATCTATTTCCAGAAGGGTGGGGGATCTTCAAAGCAATAGAGCTCTCTCTTTTCCAGGTTGGGAAGAACTAAAGCGAGTCTGGGTTGGATAGGAAAGGTTGGAGGGAATGGGAAAAATTAGGAGGGAAGATGGGGCGGTGTCTTGTTGTAGGTGAAAGCACAGGTATGGGACATCTGTGTCATTGGTAGTTGGCTCATCTGTGAACTATGATGATCAAATCTCATGACAATTTTAATTTAATTTTGTCTTAGTAACACATTTATGTGATACAAAAATAAAAAGGTACCAAAAGGCTTAGAGTGAAAGGTCTCCCTTCCTCACTCTGTGCAGTTTCCACCCAGAGGCAAGTAGTATTTCCAGTTTCTCATGTATCCAGAGATATTTGTAATCATACCAGCAAAAGTGTGTATATTCTCTTCCTCCAATTTCAAACATTCAGAAAAGTTGAAAGAATAGTCTAATGAATACTGTAAACTTGCCACTCAGGTTCAACAATTGACATTTTGCTATACTTACTTGTACATGGATGGATGTATGGGTTTTTTGGTTTTGTTTTTTGCCTGAAGCATTTGAAAGTTGATTATAGACATTTCGACTCTTCACCCCCAAGTACTTCAGCACACAGCTCCTAAAAGTAAGAAGTGGCTCCTACTGTTCCTACAGCCAAGAAGGTGAAGGAGGGCTCCCTAAATCATCCAGTATCTAGTCCAGAAGTATTTATATTTCTCAGATGTTCCCCAAATGTCATACATCTCCTTTTTTCAACAGTAACCCAGTCACCATTTTTTAATGGTAGTGTGCTATATACACCTTGCTTTTTCCCCTTAAAAACATCTTAGAGATTATCCCACATCAGTAGATAAGTTTCCTCTTTTTTGGCACATGTGCCCTAATTCATTTAACCAGCCTCTGTGGTGATATTTAAAAACCTTTATTATTATGGGAAGGAATAGTAACAGTAATAACAGCAGCCGTTGCTTGAGCACCTACTCATGCTAGTTGCGTGCTGGACCTCTGACATGTTATGACATTTAAACTTCAAGTGACCCTCTAAAATGGGTATTACCCCACCCCCCAATTTATAGATGAGGACACTGAGAGCCAGGGTTGTTAAACTGAATTCACTTTGATGACCCTAGACCAGTGATGACGAACCTATGACACGTGTCAGCGGTGACATGCGAACTCATTTTTTTTGGTTGATTTTTCTTTGTTAAATGGCATTTAAATATATAAAATAAATATCAAAAATATAAATCTTTGTTTTACTATGGTTGCAAATATCAAAAAATTTCTATATGTGACACGGCACCAGAGTTAAGTTAGGGTTTTGCAAAATGCTGACACGCCGAGCTCAAAAGGTTCGCCATCACGGTGCTGTCCTCTCCTCTGTTTTTACTCTTTTTACTTATGCTCTCCCCTCTGTCTGAAGTGCCATGTCCCCTGCATGTCACCAGACTGACTCTTGCTCCTTTAAAAAGACTCAGCTCAGCCCCTACCCTCATTCCATCCCATCCCAGGCTAGGAGACTTCCCTGGAATCCCGAGTCCCCCTCCCTCACCTTCACTCCGAGATTCCGTACTCTGTGGACTTGTCTTTTATTGTTTCCAAGTCTCCTCGGATTTTGATAGCCCACAGTGTTGAATTGGGTTAAAGCAATCTGTGCCCAGCCCAGCTTTCATCTGTAGCCGTTTAGTTCCTGGCCTCAGACTTGTGCCCCTGTGTCCAATTCTGATGGCGGCCTCAGAGGTGGGAGCGCTCTCCCGTCAGCAGTCGTTAAGTCTCTGTGCCACCAGCAGCAACCTCTGTCTCCCTTGCCCTGATAGTTCTTTCTGTGTTGGGGCAGGTGGGCAGCAATGCTGGCATCGTGGGGATGACCAAGGAGCACCTGGGCTTGGCATTGGCACTCAATGTGCCTGTTTTTGTGGTGGTCACCAAGATTGATATGTGTCCTGCTAACATCTTGCAAGGTAAGTGAAGCCTCCAGCTAGCAGCAGTGTCTCTGTTTGGGGCTGCCACCCCCTGGGCTCCTTGGTGGTCTGCTGCCAGGGCTTCAGCCCAGAGCCTTCAGCGTCCTTATCTTGTGCTCAGACCTCGCCTGAGTTTCCCATCAGCCCAGAACCTTCTGCCTTCTCCCTGTTCAGCTCTTGGTCTGAGCATAGCCTAGAATTACCCCCTGCACTTTGTTCTTTCTGGTTCCAAATGCAAGATTCTTGAGGCCTCTAGTCTGGTACCTCTTTTTGGATGGCCTCAGACAGAAGGGGTTGGGTTTTACCATGTAAGCTGAATGTATGTGGCAACATTGAGGCAGAGGGTCTGGTAATGTTTTTTGTTTGTTTGTTTTTTTAAATATGTTTTCATTGATTTCTTTTACAAAGAGAGGAAGGGAGAGGGATAGAGAGATAGAAACATCAATGAGAGAAAAACATCAAAGATTGGCTGTTAACTGCACGCTCCCTACTGGGGATCGAGCCTACAGCCTGGGCATGTGCCTTGACCAGGAATCAAACTGGTAACCTTTTGGTCAGGGGTTGATGATCAACCACTGAGCCACACCGGCCAGGCTGATAATGTTTTAGCACCAAAGGCTTCAAAACAAGAGCAGGACTAGGCCTTCATGCATTTCTCCCTCATTGCTGCAGATGGTAGGAGAGAAATGGAGAGATGTCCTTTGGGGGGGGGCCTCATGAGGACCTCTGCAGGCGTCTGAATGTGCTAGGGATCCTTTTGTCAGATGCTTTTCCCCCCCAGGAAGCAGAGCATTCTGAGAACATTGTCCCTGTGGACGCCCCCCCACCTCCCCCCCGCTTGCCTTCTCCCATCACTTACAGGATGCGGGTCTTCTAGAGATTAAAGAAATCCAATGGTTTCAGACTCGTAACCTCAGCAGACAGGCCCCATCCGTGCTCTGTTTCTCCTCTAGCAAACATGCATCCACCCAAAGTTTTGATCCTCTTTTTTGCTTCTCCAGGCATTGTGGCATTTAACATTCTCTGTCTCCTGCTTGCAACAGTGATGAGTGGACCTGTCTTGCCCTAAAAGCCTGGCCAAAGAGAAGCCTGTGTCTCCTAATTCTGTTCATTTCACCCTTTAAGAAACCCTGAAGCTGTTACAACGCCTGCTGAAGTCGCCAGGCTGCCGGAAGATCCCTGTGCTGGTGCAGAGCAAGGATGATGTGATCGTTACCGCCTCCAACTTCAGCTCCGAGAGGTAACAGGGTAGGGAGCACTCACTTCCGGGCGGGCACAGACGGGGTGAAGTGGACTCGTGCTCTCAGCACAAGGTCTCCCAGGCTGGCAGGTGCCTCAGATCTGAGGAGCTAGCCTCACTGAGGTTGGAATCCCAGCGAGACCTCAGTGTCCTTGCCTGTGAAATGGGAATGATGTTCCCTTCTCCATAGGGCTCTCGTAGGGTTGGAAACTGCCTGGCCCCTGCGTAATAGGAAAGCTGCCATTTTTATAACTTATTCTATACTTTTATACTGTTGTTCCTCAAAAGCTCTCGAATCACAATCATTTCAGGCCTTTACTCATTAACATATCCTGTGATTCTATAAATAGACTTGGATGTCTGTTGTGTGCCAGGCTCTTCGTCTCAGCATTGAGGTTTCAGAGGTGACTCAGGCACTAGCCTTGTCTTCAAGGTGGTCAGCTCCTTGGTCAGAGATACTCTTTGAACTTTGTTAACTCTGTTCCTTCTCCCAGAGTCTTGGGGGAAAGCTGCCATTTTTATAACTTATTCTATACTTTTATACTGTTGTTCCTCAAAAGCTCTCGAATCACAAATCATTTCAGGCCTTTACTCATTAACATATCCTGTGACTCTATAAATACACTTGGATGTCTGTTGTGTGCCAGGCTCTTCATCTCAGCATTGAGGTTTCAGAGGTGACTCGGGCACTAGCCTTGTCTTCAAGGTGGTCAGCTCCTTGGTCAGAGATACTCTTTGAACTTTGTTAACTCTGTTCCTTCTCCCAGAGTCTTGGGGCTGCTTAGAGCCACCTGTCTGCTGGCTTGGTCTGTAGTACAGGACCCTGGCATTTGGCCTGTTCTGCCCTGACAGTGTCTTCAGTACCACCATTAGACCAGCAGAGGGGGTACATTTCAGCTGCCCCCATTTTATCTTATTTAAAATTATTTTCTTATTGTATGTGTGTGTGTGTGTTTAGAGAGAGATAGGAAGGGAGAGGGAGAGAGAGAAACATTGATGTGAGAGTGAAACAGCTGCCTTGTGCACATCCCCTACCTGGGATCAAGCCCACAACCTGGTTATATGCCCTGACCGGAAATCGAACCAACAACCTTTGGTGGAGAGAGAGAAACATTGATGTGAGAGTGAAACATCAGCTGCCTCGTGCACATCCCCTACCCGGGATCAAGCCCGCAACCTGGGTATGTGCCCTGACCGGAAATCGAACCAACAACCTTTGGGGCACAGGATGACGCCCAAGCAACTGAGCCACACCAGCCCGGGCAGCTGCCCCCATTTTAATTCACTGAGTTTTTCTGGTGCCTGTTCTGTGCAGGTACTATTCTAGGAGCCGTGGGGATATATAATTCCTGATCTCCAGGAGTTTGATTAACCCTGGATGGAGATACAGAGGCCTTTGAGATAGATGATGGCAAGTCAGACATAGTTACATGTAACAGAGGCACAAAAAGTTCAAGAGCTGAGAGGAGTGAATGCCCATCTGGGAAGGGTTTCCTGGAAGAAGCAGCACGGAGGCGTGCCCTGAAGGATGAGAGGATTTGGTAGTTGGATAAGAGGGAAGCAGTTCAGGCAGGAGGATCAGAGTGGACAAATACAGGGGAGCATAAAGAACCAGGCTTTTAGAAGAAAGTAAGTCCTCTGGTCTGGCTGGAATATAGGGATTTGAGAGAAATATACCTGCAGGATGTTGGGAGGAGGGACGCAGGCTGTTTTCTCCATAATGGGAAGGGGATTGAGGACTTTAAGCAAGCATGCGTGTACTTTAGGAAGAAGCAGTTACGAGTGCCTGAAATGGGGCAGTGGTAGAGCGACACAGAGGAGGGGGCAGATTTTAGAGACAAAACTGAGTAAGAGGAGAAGGCCTTAGAGTCGGGCCAGAGGGGAAGAGCCCTGGGAGGCGGATGCGGGGCAGTGGGGCCCTCCCAGGAGCCCTCCTGCTGCTCCCATCCTGTCAGCCAGGCTGGCCTCCTGAGCTCCTGTCTTTCTTTTTATTCACCCTCCACATAGGATGTGCCCGATATTCCAGATCTCCAACGTTACAGGCGAGAACCTAGATCTGCTGAAGATGTTCCTCAACCTCCTCTCCCCCCGCACCAGCTACCGGGAGGAGGAGCCAGCGGAGTTTCAGATTGACGACACTTACTCTGTGCCGGTGCGTGGCTGCCGGACGAGCAGGGCGGAAGCTGGGCGGGCACTTCCCACAGTGGGTTGGGTTGAGTGTGTGGTGGAAAGGGGCTGAGTGGGGAGAGACTTACTGGGCCAGGGTCTTCTCTGCAGGGTGTGGGGACGGTGGTGTCAGGGACAACACTCAGGGGCCTGATCAAGCTGAATGACACGCTGCTGCTGGGCCCAGATCCTCTGGGGAACTTCCTGTCCATCGCTGTGAAGTCCATCCACCGCAAGCGCATGCCTGTCAAGGAGGTGCGGGGGGGCCAGACAGCCTCCTTTGCGCTGAAGAAGGTGAGTGTCGATAATACCCTAACTCCCCTAAGAGTCCGCGTTTTACTAGGCTCGGGGCCGTCTCCATCCTCATGGCTGCTCTGCAAGCCAGGGCTTACTGACCTCACCTACAGAGGAGGAAACGGAGCTGAGCCCGCCTGAGTGACATGCCCAGGAGTGCACAGGTGACACGTGCTACAGCTGGGACTTGAGCCAGGCCTGCCTGCCTCCTGAGCTTGTTCCTCCCTCCAGTCCTGAGCAGGGTGTGCTGAGCTCAGTGGTGAGGTCAGACAGGCATCTCCCTGCTGTGTTGAGGGCCACTGGGGTCCATGCCAACTCCTCTTCCCACCCACCTCCTTCCCCAGGAAGGGGGTGAGTGCCAGCTCTAGGATCACCTACCTTCTCCGCCAACCAAGTTAGCAAAATGAGGCTGTCTCTATCCCCCCAACAGTCATGTCATACTCGCCTGTTCCTCCCACCATTGCTTACTGCCTTCGCCCTCATCACCCACTTAGCTCTTACCCATCCTTGACGGCCCAGCTGAAATGCCGCTCCTGCATGACCCTGAGTAGCAGTGTTTCGCTTCCCCAGAGCGCTAAGACCTGCCCGGAAGGCCCGTGGTCCGGTGCAGTGAGGGCAGGGCCGAGTGGGGTGGTCCTCATTCCCAGAAGGTCGGCTGGTCCTTGGGAACCAGGGGCTGCAGCCCGAAGGCACATTGTGCCTGAGTCTGGGCTTCCTCTTTCTTTCAGATTAAGCGCTCATCCATCCGGAAGGGCATGGTGATGGTTTCCCCGCGTTTGAATCCCCAAGCATCCTGGGAATTTGAGGCCGAGATCCTCGTCCTCCACCACCCCACCACGATTAGCCCACGCTACCAGGCCATGGGTAGGTGTCTAACGGGCTGCCAGCCCAGGAGCCCCCACTCTAGCTCTCTACAAAGTGCTCCAGTGACCCGAACCCACAAGTTTCAGCTCCATCCAAGAGGTCTCCTTCCTGCTTAGTGATGCTCCCTTTTCCGCCCACGAGCTGTAGCGTTTATCAGTCCTGTGTGCCTACTCAGTGTCTGCTGAATGACACGCTGAAACCAGGTGTTGCCAGGTGTTGGGGACAAAGGCCAGGTAGGCAAGGGCCCTGCCCTCAGGAAGCCAGCAGGCTAGAGAGACACATGCAAACATAGTGTCCTGAATTCAGGAGTAAGGACCATGGTCCCAGGTGGGGTCTAACGGGAGGAAAAGGTAGGTGAGTTCGAGGCACGATCAGATCTCAGTGCAGCCTCCGTTCACTCGGCTCCCCTAGACCTCCCCAGGCTTAGCCTGCGCAGCTCAAGCATATTTCATGCTTTCACTCTGCCTCCCCTGCCCTGAGGCTAATGGTGGCGCAAGGCGTCTGACCTGGCTCCCTTGGCAGTGCACTGTGGGAGCATCAGGCAGACGGCCACCATTCTGAGCATGGACAAGGACTGTCTACGCACTGGGGACAAGGCCACGGTGCACTTCCGCTTTATCAAGACCCCCGAGTACCTGCACATAGACCAGCGGCTGGTGTTCCGGGAAGGCCGCACCAAGGCCGTGGGCACCATCACCAAGGTATGGCCGGGCAGATCTCCCCTGCCCCCAGCAGACACCAGGGGTCACTGGCCCGCAAGCACAGCAGGTGCTTCTGGAGAGGCCTTGCAGGAGCTCCTGACCGGCTGGGCCAAGGCCAGTCCCTGCCTCGGGAGAGCTGGACCAGGGCATTCCTCCTGGGTGATAGCCACACATCCGATGTTTCCGGCTGCTGGATAGTCACTGCTGGGGCCTGAAGTTAAAACCTGCCCCAGACTCTGGTTCCAGGGGCCGCAGGTCCTCGGGCTGGAGATGCAGTTGATGTTCTGAGGAGTCTTAGCCTGTCTGGGAGCCTGGAGTTCAGCTCACCAGGCTCTGGCAGGCAGGGCCCGTCTGGGAGCTGGGCTGAGTGGGAGCGGCCGAGGATCCCTGGCTGCGGGAAGAACAGCCAGAGCAGGGACAGGATGGAGCTCTGGATGGGGAGAGAACACCTGGGCCCCCCCAGGACCAGCCAGGCTGGGAGTGAGCAGTCCCTGAGGGTGGGGGAGCCGGCCGCTGAGCTGATGGCACTGCCTGCCGCTCCAGCCTCATCCTCACCCCTTGGCTCCTGCAGCTCCTCCAGACCACCAACAACTCCCCAATGAACTCCAAGCCTCAGCAGATTAAAATGCAGTCGACGAAAAAAGGCCCCCTGACCAAACGAGAAGATGGGGGCCCCCCTGGAGGGCCGGCCGTAGGGGTGCCTCCCCCTGGAGACGAAGCGGGCTCTCTGGGGGCTGCACAGTCAGCTGCATCCAGCAGTCTCCAGCCAACGGTGAGCATGCCTTGCAGCCGTCCTGGACCCCTGACCACCTCGGGCGGTGCAGGCAGGGCGATGGGGTGTGGCTGTCACAGAGTCAGTGGGGGTGACGTGTGAGAGCCCCGGCGCAGGTGCTTTCTGAGCATGCGCTGTGGCCTCTGAAGGTGCTGTTTTTCAAACTTGGAGGTGCGGCCTACATAGAAGCAGTTTAATTGGTCCTGATGAGCATTTGAGAGTTTCTCACATTTCAGAGTTTCCCGTTCCTAGTAAGAGTAAATAGCATTTGTGTGTGTGGGTGAGTGCGCCGAGGTCCAAAGGGTTTGAAAATCTGCCTTAGAGGCTCTCCTGTGCCCCCTCCCCCAACATGACCCCTCCTGAGGGGCCGGTGGCCTTGGCCCTGTGTCACTGTGGCTGTCACTCAGCACCCCTGCCAGCTCTGTCCCGGGTTCCTCCCTCTCAGAGCCTTTCTCCAGCCGACCTGCCTCTGGAGAAGGAAGCTTTTGCTACACCTGTTCTTTCTGTTCTCCCCATTGCTTTCCTCTGGCTCCGTCATTCCCTTTCCCTTCCCACCTTCAGTGGTGGCAGGGGTTGGTTCCTACTTTCTTTGTGCTCCTCTGAGCTCATACCCTTGCCACGTGACCCACCTGCCCCGCAGGCAGGCAGAGCAGGCCCTTGCTCCATCTGACCGGCAGAGCCGTGCTCAGGCGAGGCTGGGACCACACTGCCTGCCCTTCACCTGCTGCCCCTGCTCCTCTGCCGCCCCTCCCTTCCCACCTTCAGTGGTGGCAGGGGTTGGTTCCTACTTTCTTTGTGCTCCTCTGAGCTCATACCCTTGCCACGTGACCCACCTGCCCCGCAGGCAGGCAGAGCAGGCCCTTGCTCCATCTGACCGGCAGAGCCGTGCTCAGGCGAGGCTGGGACCACACTGCCTGCCCTTCACCTGCTGCCCCACCCTGCTCCCCTCCCCTGCTCCCAGTGGCCCGCTGTTTCTCAGGCTCCTCCTTTCTCTTTCAGCTCAAGCCCAGCAGTGGGGGCCGGCGACGAGGGGGCCAGCGCCACAAGGTGAAGAACCAGGGGGCCTGCATGACTCCTGCCACTGGCTGCTGAATTTCTCCTTCCCACCCAAGGATTCTCGTGCTCTGGCCACGCTCCATCCGATGGGCCAGAGCAGCCACCACCCTCCCCAGGCCACAGCCGGAGCCTCATCATTCCCCAGCCCTGGTTCCCGGGGCTCTAATTTATAGCCAAGGACGACGGCAGACTTCCGGAGCACTACCATCTCCCGCCCTCTTGCCCGCCTTCTTCCTCACTCAGTTTTTGTCCATCTGGGCCCTTAGTTTTTATTCTTTTTATTTTCTCTCTGTCGTGTGCGTGCGTGCGTGCGTGTGCGTGTGTGGGTATGTGCATGGCCACTCAGGGCCCTGGCAGTCTTTCTTCTCTTCCTTTCCTCCTCCATGGCTGGCCCCGGCCTCCAGGAGCTGTCCGTCCGTGTGTGTCTGTGAGAACCTTTAGGGGCTGTCGGGAACTGAAGGGCCTCCCTCCCAGTGCTGCTCTGTGCCTGGAGCCCTCTCTGGGGCCGGGGCTGCAGGTATAAGTGCTGCTGCTCCGTCTCCGGAGCCTCCTCCTGGGACTCGGGGCTTCTGGCAGGGTCGACAGTGCTGGCTCCCTCTTTTCCCTCCCTCTCTTCCCTCCCTCTTTCTCCTTAAACCCCCAAACAGGAATGCCAGAAGCTCTTACATTGTAACCTGTAGATGGTGGAGGGGAGCGGCGATTGGGTTGTCGGGCCCTCCCTGCCCTTCCCTCTGGCCCGTGCCACTGACCCAAAGACAGCTGGTGGCTTTCCTTCCCGGGACAAGCCTGTTTGCCTGCTGCTCAGGGCAGCTCCTGCTCTGCCATCTGCTGAGCCTCCCGGGCTGCCTCCTGCCTGGACCTTGAATTTTACTGGGTCTTGGGGCACTGATGACCTAGACGGTGTCGCCTGCTCAGGGTCATGCTCACTAGCACCTCCTTTTGGTGGGGTGCGGGGTGTTCCTCTGAGCCAGGCTGGGAGGGGAACCCCTCCTTCCCACCACAACTCCGCCACATCACCCCAGCGTGGCTGCTGCAGGAGCACAACAGGGAATGGCCTGAGCCCCAGGTTTGGAAGCCCCAGTTGGGATAGGGGGAGGCAGGAGCAGGCCCCGCGGAGCAGGAAGCCCTCTGGAAGAACCACTGCCTGGGGCGGGGGCGGGGGGCCAGAAGGCAGCGTGGGCCCTGAACCAGCCTGGCTGAGCTGTGGACTGGAGCCCTCAATTTAGGGTGCACTAACAGGCAGAGATGTGTCCTTCTGGTTGGGACAGACACCCAGCTGGCTGGGTCCTTCCTCAGCCTTGCCTCCTCCTTGTCCCCAACCCTTCTCCTGTCCTGCTCCCAGACTGCTGGTCCTTCACTCCCCTCTCCCAGCTGTTTCTAGTTACCACTGGCACATGGCCACGGACTGACCAGACCAGCACACAACATGAAAGCTTGTCCACATTGACAGGTGGAGGAGCTGCCACTGAGAACACTGGTGCCCTGCCTGCCCCAGCCCCAGTCTTAGAGAGCAGGGCAGGGAGGGGGAGCCCAGATTCTGGGCGGCAGGCGTGGCCTCACTACCCACGCTCTCCCACCAGCTCTGACATGGGACAAGGTGCCAGCCTTCTCTGGACTTCAGTTTCCTCCTCCACAGCAAGAGGTGAATGCCTCCGGGGGTCAGAATTTATTGAGGATGTATGTGAGGCCCCATGTGCCCAGCACGCTGCGTATACCCACGCTGGTCCCCAAGTCCATAGCAGAGGCCCCGAGCTGGGGGACAGACTTGAGAGGTGGCATCGACCTGCCTGTGGTGTGGCTGGGGCTGTGCGACGGGTCTCCCTCACGTCATAGTCTGAGGGAGGTGGCATTGGTGCCATTGTTCTAGGTGGGGACACAAGCTCAGAGAAGCAGTGCCACCAGCAGGCGGGGTGTTCCCACCCTGGCCCTTGGCCCAGCCATTCCCGCTCAGCTGCGTCCTTCGGCCCCTCCTGTTCCTTTGTCTCCTGGCTGTTTCCCTCTTGCTTTTTGGCTCATTCTGCTTGCAGGGCTGCTGCCCAGGGAATCCTTGGTAATCAGAGGGCTCCAGTGTTGAGCGACCCGCTCTGTCCCTCGGCGGGCGCTGTGGAACTGGTATTTCCCTGGGCGTGGCCATGGTAGACCTTCGAGCAGGCGGTGCCTGCTTTTGTTGGAACTCTTCGGCCCCTGTGAGCATAACCACTGGATGTTAGGAAGCCGTGGCCGCCACCTGGCCTCTGTCCTCAGATGCTCGGGAGGCTGGTTTGGATCTGTGTGGCCACCGGCCACACCTGCTAGCAGGGCAGACCGAGTGCAGCGTTTCACTGTCCTCCACGGGGACGACCCGAGTTCCCTGTGGGTCTCAGCCTACCAATTCTCCATTTGGAACAAAACACCAGCCCTTTTGTAGTTGATGAAGAATAAAGTTGTTAATCTGATCATCTCAGTGGCAAATCCTGACCCTTCTGTGTGTGTGGTAGGGTTGGTGGCATCTTAACTCCGTCACACCACTGTTCTGCAGACTGGCCTCCGGCACAGCATAGGGCAGCAGGACTGTGACATGGGCGGGGAGTGCACGTTGGATTGGGGCCAAGGGATGTACCACAGGGAAGATGGTGTGAGTTGTGCCATGAGGGGCCAGTAGGATTTGAACGTGTGCAGACAGGCAGAGGGTATGTGCCTGGCCTGAGAGCGAGAGCAGAGGCCCTAAGCCCTGTGACTGTGGTAAATTCCAGGGACTCAGTACTACTCAGGGCTGTCTCCTTTGTTGAAAAATGGTGCTAGTTGCAGAGCAGGTGTTGAGTGGAACCGGGAGAGAAGCGAGCAGTCAGTGGGGGATGAGCCTTGTGTAGGACTAGCTCTTTCCTGGGACCCTAAGCTGAGGGGTTCTGAACTGGCCCAGAACCTCTGGGCTGGATTTGCACTCCACCAGGCACCCTCTGTGGCACTTGACCCCCAAGCCCCTCCTACTGACTTGTTCCTGCCTTTATTTTCTCAGCTTTGATGGGGACTGGCCCTGGGCCAGGTGTCATGGTCAGATGAGGCTTATTGGAGTGTCCAGTTGGGGGACCGCCCCTGGCCCTCTGAGCAGCTCGTTAGAGACACTGACTGGGGAGTATTTAGGGGAAGGGCCAGGACCTGAGCTGGCAGCTTCTGGCTCTCAGGGCACCCACTTCCGTGTCCCACCCCAGCCCAGACTCGAGGGGCAGATGTCTAACTCCTGTGGAGGAGGACGCAGCCCTGAAGGCAGATGTGGTCACTAGTTAAGCAGGTAACTTCCTACCTTCTACTCATGTGGCTCTAGAACAGCCGTGGGCAAACTACGGCCCGCGGGCCGGATCCGGCCCATTTGAAATGAATAAAACTAAAAAAAAAAAGACCTTACCCTTTTATGTAATGATGTTTACTTTGAATTTATATTAGTTCACACAAACACTCCATCCATGCTTTTGTTCCGGCCCTCCGGTCCAGTTTAAGCAAAAAGTTTGCCCACCCCTGCTCTAGAAGATGCTTCATATGATGTCAGGGTCCGCTAAAGCCACCCCACTTTCTCCTGCCAATCCTTGAGCCCAGAATCACTGGGGCAGGGCCTGCTCAGGCCCCACCTCCCACCACAGCTGGGTTTTAGCTGAGAGGCCTGGGTTTCTATGGCCAAGAATTCATTCTCGTTTTCCCAAAAGAAGATTCCCTGTGCAATGGCCAGATAAAAACCATGTATTCTCCCCACAAACAAACACGTATTCCATTAGTCCTGGGCATAATTTATTCTTTGCATAGGTATAAATTAGAATCTGGAGATAAGAAAAGTAAGAACCCAATAGTGCAGCATTTGTGACAGAAGAGCTGGGGCAGAGGTGTGCAGGGCCAGTGCTGGAGGAGCACAGGATGGCCTGGGGCCTGGCCTTCAGCCCAGCTCTGCCCCGTGAGCCTCGGCCCTCGGGAGGGCGCCTGCCTGCATGGCAGCCCCTCTTGGCATCCGGGTTACAAGGAACTGAAATCACCCAGCACCCCACAGAACGGGGCTAGGAATCAAGCCCTTAGCTTTTCAGTTAAAAAAATGACCTTGAAAAGTGTTTACATAATAACAGCAGGGCCAGCTGAGGCAAAAAAAAACCCTGCCTCCCATCCCTGCCCTCCCCTCACCCCCACCCCCCATAGAAAAAAGCCAGAAAGGAAGTGACTGAGCAAGAGCTGGAAGAGCCCTGAGGGGGTGCTGAGGGTGAGGGCCCCTGACCCAGGGGCCGGATTGAGATGGGGCACAAGTCAGACAGTCCTCCCACCATGATACCCTGATATCACCCTGTCATCACTGGGCCACCAGGGAGCTAGGGAGTCCTCTGCCTGCACCCTTTCAGCTGGCCCCAGACGCACAGCCTCCGAGGGCGGGTCTGGGCTCCCTGCACCTGGGGGATGTGGCAAACGTGCTAGGGACAGGCAGGCCCCATCCCCGCATCAGACGAGCAGAAACAACTAGTGTCCCCAGCAGAGGGGCCCCTCCGAGGATCCCAGGAGCAGACCTGGGGTACAAAAAGCCCCACGGCCCACCTCACGCCAGGACAAGCACAGTGTATAGAAGCCCTTGGAGGACCCTGAGGGCCAAGCTCCCCTAGGTCGATGGAACTGGCTTCGGCAAGAGCCCAGCTGCCCGCTCCCAGGAGCTTCCTGCCTGCAGCCTGTCCCAACCGGAACTGCGGGCACCCTCCTCCCATGGGGCCTCAATTCCCTGCCCGAGCCCTAGCTTGTGCCCCCGTGGCTTTGGCATGTGCATCACACACCACACACCTCCCAACAGAGCTTCCTGGGTGCCAGCCCCTCCGCCGTGGGCAAGGGGCAGTCAGTCAGGTCTTGCCCACGGCTGCTGGACATGTCCACGCGTCACCTCTCCTGCCTCAGTCCCACATGACATGCTACATATGTACAGCCTCCCAGGAGGGGAAGCAGACCCTGGTGCCTGGCGTGAGAACGAAGGATGGAAAGATTGGAGCCAGCTGAGCCCTGGAGCTGCCGCTGCTGGGAAAGCCCGGCACATTCTATGTCCACTGGGCAAGGGTTCCTGCTCCTGGAAGTCAGTGCGCTGATCAAGCATGTGGGGAAGTGCAGGGGTGCTGCTCCCCGATGCCCGGAGAAGGGGGCGTGGCTGGCCTCCCCGCTGGCTGGCAGCAGTGCAGGGGGGGCCTAGTGGGCGGGCTCCCCATGCACCCTGAAGCGGTAGATGCAGGTGTACTCAGGGTGGCCCCAGTTAGTCAGGATCCGCAGCTCCACCACCTGGTATGTGGCCATTTTGGGGTCCTGTGTGGAGAAGAAAGAGGTTAAGAATGTCGGAGCCCTCAGCCCTCAGCCCTCACTGGCAGCAGGCAGGCGGGGAAGTGCCACCCCTCAGGCCAGGCCCCCTGCCCTGGGGCCTCTCAGACCTGGACTTCACAGCTCCTGTCTTCAGACCCTGCAGGAGTGTCCAGCTGGTGGGCCAAGGGGCTCCAGAGGCCTCCCACCGGGGCCACCCCCGGGGCCACAGAAGGAAGGCCTTGTGGCTGAGCACCGGCCAATTCATCCCAACCGACAACCCACAGGAGCTCTTGGTGACGGCAGCACTGCCTTCACGGAGTTTGCTGCTCTGTGTTGATGTTGGGAAAGAATCCCTTTTCTTTGAATGAAGCAGAATTTCTTTTCTTTCTCAAGTTGCCATCAGGCCTCTGTCTTCTATGCTCCAAAAGCCAGTTTTTGAGCCAGCTTTCGATGCCCAGCACAGTGTCTCCTGCTCTTCCTCTCCCCCTCCAGCCTCCTGTCCTCCACCCGCTCCTAAAGGCACAGTCTACACACACCCTGAGAAACCCCGGCTACTCCATGGCTTTGTTATCGCCTGGAGCTCACAGCTCAGTCTCTGTCAGGCCCGGTGACAGCTCCACGCGACCGTCTGACAGGTGCCTGCCCTCGTCTGCATTAGCCTCTTGGCTGCCCTCTCCACCTTCCCCTTCCCTATTGTGTCCGCCACCTCTCCATCCTCCGGGTGAACACCGATCATCAACTCTGGCTTGCTTTCCTACAACCACTTCCCGACTGTCTCCCTGTCTCCAGGCTTGTCCCTCGTGGACTCACCGTGTACACGGCCACAGTGATATTATACTGCACATCATACTGTCACTTCTCTGCCTAAAACAGCACTGCCCACCCCCTTCCACCCCCACCCTGAGGGCTGAGACTCTTTGGCCTGGTGTCCAGGCTCTCTTCCTGCCACTGGCCCTTCGCCTCACATCCCGACCTCACGCTAGTGTCCTCCGCTCCTCACCCTGCCGGAGGCTGCAGGTTCCTGGGCCCCAGCAGCCCCAAGGAATCAGCCTCCTGGGGGAGCTGGGGCTCTGGACTTCTGGGAAGTCTCTGTTCCATGCCTCGGGCTGCGGGAGGGCAGGCGCTGTGGATTCCTGTCTGAACGGGGGCCTGGCACAGGGTAGTGGGCAGGGAAGTGAGTGTGCCACCTCTGCTGGCACAACAGAATCCTGTACCTGAAAATAGAATGTCTGGATGGGCTCCCCATCCTGGTTGTAGGTGAACTGGCCAAGAGGCGTCCCCTCCTGCTGCAGGTCTTCATCAAACCCCTGGAAAGAGCACAGGATGAGGCAAGAGCTGCTCCTGGACATGCGCCCGGCCACCGAGAGTGCCTTCCTCTGTGCCCACCGTCCCCTCCCCCCGGTGGGCTGCAGGGGACCTGAGCACCGGCAACAGGCCGCTGTGGGGTCTGTGACAGACAAGTCACTTCACTCCTTGGGCCTGTTTTTCCCTCCGTAGCCTGAGACAACTGGGATCGAAGTCCCATTTCCCACCCTGGCCCCATCTCTTCCAGATCTGCTCCCCGCCCCCAGCCAAAGAATGACCCCCAACTTTATCCTCAGTAAGGCCCCCAGGCCCTCCTGCAGCTCTCAGGCCCACACAGGGGGGATAGATACTCACAAAGACAGCAAAGTCCTTGGGGGCACTGGAGATGGTGCTGTTGGGTGACAAGGACTTGGGCACATGCTCTAAGGTGACAGCAGTGGGGCGGATGCGGGCAGAGAGGCGGACCACGGCAAAGCCCTGGGGCCCCTGGAAGGCCCAGCAGTTGCCTGGGTGCACATCTGGCTGGAAGGGAAGAGCCGGGTCAGGGCAGGGCTGGGGACAGAGCCGCCCCAGCTGCACAGACGACTGCTCAGGACACTGCTGTCGCCGCCTGGTGCCTACCTGGAGGATGACGCGGGGCGACTGGGAGTGGTACCACAGGGGGATGCCGAAGAGGCTGAGGAGGGCCGTCTTGGTCTCATAGGTCTCGGAACATCGGGTGCTGATCACACTGGCCCCTGATAGGAAAGAAAGGAGTGTGGGGGCCTGGGGCCTGGGGAGCAGGGGAGGGAGACCAGACAACCAGCTCAGCAGCCAGAAGGACCCGGCTTAAAGGGCTGAGGCCGGCCAAGGGGGGACCACTATTGGCCGTGTCCTCTCTGAGGACGAAGGGCAGATGCCCAGGCCCAGCCTGTACACCCAGCCCAGACCCCAGGGCAGCTGTGAACAGCCTCATCCCAGCCAAGGATGGTGCCCGGCACGTCGCGGGCCTTTGTGGTGAGTTCGGGGATGGGCGACTCTGATGATCCTGCTTGCCTCGCACACGGCTGCTCCGGCAGATGCCAGTGGCCAGTGCGGGGACCAGGGCTCTGCTGCGGAAGGAGAGCGGCACACACACCTCCGGACTCCAGCGCGTAGTCCACCATCCCGATGCGGTCCTCACTGTAGCGCTTCAGGGCCTGGTTTACGATGCGGTGCACCTCCTAGAACAGGCACCAGAGCAGGGGTGACGGGAGGCAGACGGCCACCCTCGGACCTCCCCTGCCGGGTCCTTCTGTGCTTGCACCACGCTGGCGTCCAGCCACACGTGCCACCCAGGCATGTTCCCCGCTCCCATACCCACCCCAAAGCCAACACTGAGCCTGCTGCATGGCACACACAGGGAGCTGGCAGTGGGGGACGTGCAGGTCTGTGGCTCCCGGGGAGGAAAGCAGTGTGTGTACAAGTGGGGGTCCCAGGGCATAATTTCTCACCTCCTCTGTCACCCCGATCACGCCTTCCTTCTGCAGCCTCAGCCCCACGCTGGCCACCGCCTCCCTCGCCGACTTGCCCTGCATCTCGGCCACGTGGCTGAGGATCTTGCCCTCCAGCTCCTGCAGCCGAGCCTGCATCTCCTCTCGCTGAAGGAGCCCCGAGCGGGCCCCCCCACCTTGGAGAAGGAACTGACTGACCCAGGCAGGGAACTGAGACTCCACCTAGGGACCGAAAAGAGGTCTCACTGTGGGAGGCCGGCAGGGCAGAGTCTGGCTGGGGAGAGAAGCAGGGAAGGGGTGCAGGCCTGTGAGGGGAGGGCCAGCACGTGCCTGCTTGGGCCACACAGATGAGAGAGTTATGAATGACCCCTCCCTGTCTCCCAACACAGGAAGACAACATCTGTGTCAAGTCCAGGGCCAGGCCCCGTGGGACTAAGGCTGCAGGGGCAGGAAACGGTCCCCTACAGACGCCAAGGACAGATGGTCTCAGAGGGCGGGTGTTCACAGGGGACCTGGACGGCTCGGACTCACGTCATCCCGCACGGCCTGGAGCTGCTGCGGCAGGAGGCCCACTTGGTCCGCCACCGAGCTCTGCTTCAGGGCCAGGGCTGCCAGCTCCTGGCGCAGGCCTGCCAGCTGGCCCTCCAGCCGCCCCAGCTCCTTCATGGAGTTCTCCCGGAAGGACTCCTGGGTCATCCTAGTCCCAGAGAGAGGAGGGTGAGCCTTGGATGCGGGGAAAACAAGAGGACCCCTCACTGGCTCCCGATGTGAGGCGTGCCCACGCACACAGGCGACGCAAGGCCTGCTCGGGGAGATCCTGGCTGTGAGCACAGCGCCAGGTTTGCCTGACCCAGGGAGCTCATTCCTGTCCCGCTCCCTCCCTGAGCCCAGATCCATCGTTCACTCGGCCTCTGCCGCTCGCCCCCGCATGAGCAGAGGTCCAGGGCAGGGGAGGCAGCGTGTGAGGGTGTGCGGAGAAGATGGTGTGTCTACGTGAACCCACGAATCCCAGGCTCTTGCCGTGCCCACCCCAGCCTCCACTGCCCTCAAGCACAGGCCTCAGCACGTGGTCCTGAGCTGGCTTTCAGCCATCCCTCTCTCTGCTTAAAACAGCCAGAACTCGGCTCTGGGGCGCTGCTCCCCAGTCCTGCCTGGGGTGGGAGGCAGAGGGCAGGGGGAGGGGCAGGCCTAGGCCAGACGGCAGCCCGTTACCTGTGCCACTCGGACTTCAGCTGCTGGAGTCGGTCCTCAGACTCCTGTTGCAGGCACAAGGGAGAAACACGCGCGATGTCAGGCTCAGAGCAATTGCCTTTCGGGATCTGTTCCCTTTGGGGTGTCTGCCTCACCACTTCCCTGCCCCAGGGTCTCCCATCTGCTCCAGCAAATGTCAAACTGGCCTCCGGGTCAAGGTCCTTGTGGGGTCTCACCGGATCTGGTGCCCTTAGGCATTCATACACTCGCTCACTCACTCATTCAGCACCCAGACCCAACACCGCGGCCACCTGACTGTGCCCCTCCTGTCCCAGCAGTTCCCAGTGTGTCCCTGGAGAGCATTCCAGCCCAGGTGGGTTCAGTTCAAGCAGAAGTCAGGGGACTCCCCCACCCCCACTCCCGCCCCACGTCTACGCAGGTCCTTCGGGCGGCCAAGGTGCTCCCTCGGCCCTAGAACGGAGGTTGAGTTGGGTCAGGGCCCATGTGGCCCCAGTGCCCAAGCCCACCTGGGAGGCCCGGACAATCTTCTTGAAGAGGTCTTCTGCGTCCTGCTGGTGTTCTGCTCTCAGGGCGACCAGCTCTTCCTGTGGGCACAGCGGGAGGGCGGGGTCTCACGGAGCTGCGCTCAGAGGGCCCCTAACCACCAGTAAGTGGTGTGAATGCAACCCAATCCAGGCCTATTTGATGGCACCCTCAGCCCCGCCTCTCCACAGCGCTTCCTGGGAGCACTGCACACCCACAGGGTGCCGGGCACTGTAATCCACGTGCTCCCAGCCGGGCAGGGCCGTGGGTGCAGACAGGAGAGCGTCCGTGTGAAAGAGGAGGAAACTGAGACGGCCTCTCGCACGTCAGGGTGCGCAGGGTCTCCTCCTCCCCCCGCACGCCCACGGTGTCACCCCCACGCGCACTCAGCTCGAGCGGAGACCACAGCTCCTCCCGCACCTGGATCCGGGCAGCGGTGTCCCTGCGGAAGTCCTCCTTCAGGGCGGCCTCTCGGCGGCTCACCAGCCCCTCCAGGAGCTCCAGCGTGTCCTCCTGGCTCAGGCCACGGCCCCCGCCCTCGCCGGCAGCCCCCTGCCGCAGCTCCAGGCGTTCCAGGCGCATGGCCTCCTTCTGCCACGCGGAGGAAAACTCAGCGGCAAGGGCTTCCAGGCGCCGCTCCAGGGAATGCACCCGGGACAGAATGCGCTGCTCAGCCTGCAGGCGGGGGAGAAGCACAGAGGGGAGAGGACTACAGCCACAGTGCTTCCTGGACCGGGAAGGAGCTCAGACCCTGTGGACACTGCTGGGCCCGAGGCCCTCAGGCGGTCTCTGCCCCACAGGTGGCAGCAGCTAAATGGGTTCGGTGGGTGTGGTGACAGCACAGCACAGGGTACGGGACACACAGCGGCTGAGGGGTCTGATCCCCAAGGAGGAGTGCACGTGGGACAGGAGACGGGGACACAGGGCCCTCCCAGAAGAGGGTCCGAATGGATGGCCACAGGGGGCTGGGTGAGCCCACCCCCTTCCCTCGGTCGGTGCACGTGTGCCAGAGTGAGGGGCTGAGAGGCTCAGCTGACTGTCAATGGCTCCCACTTCTGTCGGTAACTACGGCTAAAAGACCACTAATCTGAAAGCCTTTCTTTTTCCTCTTGAACTGGACGCCCACAGAGAGGACAGCACACAAGTCATGTGGACCTGAGGGTGGCATTTGATAGCGTGCCATGAATTTGAGAACCTTGTTGGCTTCACCACGAAAATCTTTGCCAAGAGAAAGCATAACACACAGCCTGTCAACTACCAAACGGCAAAGCCACTGGGTACAGAGGTCAAGTCTGATTTTCAAAAATTCCACTTTTTTGGCATGACTCAAAAAGCAAACAAACAGGAAAAAGTCACGCTCGTAACCTCTGCCCCTCCACCCGGTGCCCGCACCACCCCCTCCCAAACAAGGCAACTATTTTTATTAGTGTCTTTATGCAAATGTAACTTTTTCTTTTCTTTTATAAAAAAAGGTGGTCCTGAAATTGAATTGTATCTAATGTCTTTACTAATGATTAAAAAAGGAAGTTTTATAAATGCCAGAATGTCATCAAATTAAATTCAGCAAGATACAACCGAAGTTAAATAACTGCAATACTTTTAATTTTTCATTGTGGCCCTCAGGACCTGCACACACATCAGCTGGTTATTTGTGCACTTCACACAGACACACACACACACACGCACATGCACACGGACTGCAGGCTCTTTGAGGGTACAGCCTGGGCCTGTCTCCTCTGCCCCTGGCAGGTTGCAGGAGTGGCCTCTGTCCTCCCTGGGCCGCAGGTGCACCCGTGGGGCGTGGCCGGGCAGGTGCCCCCATGGAGAGGCGGGGCCTGTCTCCTGCTTGAATCTAGACTGGCTCTGGGGTTTGCTGAGGCCAACAGAACGTGGAGGATGCTAGTTCCAGCTGAGGCCTCGAAGGGCCTGGCCTGATTCTGCTCTTCTGGAACCTGCACGGCTGCTGTGAGAACACAACCGGCCTAGCCTGCTGGACAACCAAAGCGCGGGGAGCCCAGCCGCCCGCTGACCCACCAGCCATGTGGAGCCCAGCCAAGGCCAGCCTGTCCGTGCTCGGACCAGAAGGGCCAGCCAGGGGACCCACAGACTCGTAGCTAGTCTAACGCTTGTACTTGAAGGCTTGAATTTTAGGGGAGGTTTATCTGTGCTAATAGGTAACTGACCAAGATATCACCTTATTCATACAAGTGCTCAGTAAACACAGGATGGGGCAAAAGTAGGTTTACAGTGGTGAGTACACGAAACACAGAAGCTATTTTTGTATTATTTATTAAGTATTGTATTATTTTCATACGAACAACTGTAAACCTGCTTTTGCCCACCCTGTACTTGTGAAACTGTGGGAAGGAACACAGCAATGAGACCACTTGTCTGACTCGTGTCCTCCTGTTTCCTGTGCTTAGGATGGTGGGAACTGTGGGGCAGTTCTGAGTCATATCTGAGCTGACCGCCTCCCAATACCTCCACTCCAAATGGTGGAGAAAGGGGTGCCCGGGGGATGAGGGTGCCCCAGCGAGGGCAGCACCTCTCTCGGCTGTGTGCCAGGTACAGGTGGGCCAGTCTATATGCAGGGAAACCAGCGGCGAACAGCGGCGGGAGCCTGCGCTCAGACACTCACCTGGGAATCTCTGGGCTCCCACACCTCACGCTGCTGGCTGCTGCCCTTCGCTGCCCACCAGGAAACCAAGGTGGGGTGGACTGTGTGCAGGCCGTAGGGGTAGAAATTCCAGGCACCTGGACACAGGCGAGAGGCTGGTTACCTGGCTGGTTACGAAGGCCCACACGCTAAGGGCTTCTGCCCACACAGGTCCCCAGGCTCAGGGAGGACCCAGGAGAGCCAGACAGGCGTGGCCGAGGGCCCCGGGCGCAGGTGCCCAGGCTCGGTCCGACCCACTCGTCCTGCCTCCTTCCCTTTCTGGTCGGTGATCCCATCCCTCTCGTTTTCAGCTCTGCTCAGCACTGCCTCCGCCCACACAGTGCCCTGCGCTGCTGGCTCCGCAGCCCCATTTCGGCAGCTCCTGTCCTACCGTCTCCTGTGGCGGCGGGTCAGCTCACCGTAGGTCAGGCCGGTCAGGAGCAGCAGCAGCAAGAGGAACCACAGGAACGTCTTCAGGGATGAGAAGCGCCTGGACCGGGGCGGGTGGGGCGGGCAGGGAAGGCGGACACGTCAGAGGCTCGGGGCCTCTCGGTCCCCCAGGAGTCCCTGAGATTGTTTTCTGAGTGCTCAAGCAATGGGGACAATGATGAGACCCTGTGAATTTTACTGATCTTATTAAAAATAAGTAGTGGAATCTTTTAAAAAAACTAAAATTTTCATATACAGAGGTTCCCTATGCAAGCAAACATAGGAAAAAGTATGGAACTCCTTAAACAACATTTTCTTTTTAGAAAAATGGGAACGCTTTTCTCGGTGCATGAATCCATCCTCGCCCCTCTTCTCAGCATAGCTGGCCCCACTCCACCAGGATACAGCCAGAGGGACCCTGACTTCCGGCCTCGATCCTCTTCCTCTGCTCACGGGCCGGTTCCCAAATCCCGGCACAAACCCACAGCCTCAGGCAGCTCGTGAAGTTGAGGCGGACCCTGGGGTCCAGGTCGCCACGGGCCGGGAGGGAAACACCACGCTGGGCTAGAGCCAAGGCCCCACCAGCAGGAAGGGGCCGGGCGGGCCTGAGACTCAGCCTGGGACTTTCTGACTCCTTGTCCAGGAGGAGTCTCGCTCACCGGGTTAGAACGAAGACGTCGAGGAGGGAGGCAGCCGTCGTCAGGCGGTACCAGGTGGTGCCGACCCACCAGTAGAGGAGTCCGAAGAGCCGGCCTGGAAGAGGGGCCATCAGGCCTAAGTGCCACGCTGAGGGGCAGGGCCTGCAGTCGTGGCTGCAGAGCACCCCTCTCTCTCCCCCTGCGGTACTCCCTGCCTCGCCACACCACTGCCAGGCACCTCTGTCCTGGCCGCCAGTCCGTCTAACCCCCCCTACCCCCCACCCACTCCACCAGCGCCCTCCGCCCTGCGCCACAGCCGCTCCTGCCCTTCCGACTGCGAGGATGTTCCCATGGCTCTCGGCCCCTGTGATTATTTTAGAATGAGCTTCCCCGGTGGCCCTACAGCCCCTCTGTGTGGGCTGGACACCCAGGAGAGATGGGTGAGAAGGGGCTGCTGTAGGGAATGGAGACAAGCGTGCACGGAACAGCCAGCACCCACCTGGGAAGGTGACCACCGTCCAGAAGAAAGAGCCTGCCCGTGAGACCACGCCCCGCAGCCGTGAGCTGGAGCCCTGCTGGGCCGCCTGTGAGTATCCTGCAGGGAGGGAGCGGCTGTCTGTCCTCTCAGGAGAGCCTGGGACGGGCACTGCCTGCCACTGTCTTCTCCCTCAGCCGGTGCACTGGGACCCCGGACCATTCTCCGCATCCCCGTGCCACACAGGCTGGCACCCAGTCGGCCAGTGAGCGTCTTCCCATGAGCTCCCTGCCTGCACCCCTCCCCTCAACCACTGTTCAGACCAGACCCAGGGGTCAGGCACCTCCTCGCGTGCAGCCGTGGGAAACGCTTGCTGGGAGTGAGCAGACAATGGAGTTGACCTTGACTCTAGGCCTAGCGGGGCAGGGACGGCCCATTGTGTTGGGGGACACCTCGGGCTGGGGTTCAGGGCGCTACAGGCACAGGAGGGACGCCAGAGGGCCTGCGGGGGCGCCTGCCCGACACCAGGCTCCCTCGAGCTGTCAGGGTCCTGGAACCCGGCTGAGTGTCGCCTACCTACGTAGTCGTCCTCAGAGGAGTAGCCGGAGGAGGACCCCGGGAAGTCCTCGGAGAGCTTGGCCCCCACCAGCCCGTTGATTTTGCTGCTCTCGGTGTCCCCGGTGCCTCTCCTCCTCCTCACCGGCAGGTCCTCACCTGCGGAGGGAAGGAGGCGGGGTTCTCCTGGGCAGAGATGCCGAGGAGGTTACTCGGGGAGCCCCGGGGGGACACCCTGGTGGACTCTGTCCTTGGCCCCTCCCGGGAAGGTGAGCTGGGTCCAGACCCTGTCTCCTGCGCTCGGAGCCGCCACGTGGCTCCTCTATCATCCGCAGGGACCTGGAGCTGACACCTGGGAGCCCCCCGCTGGCCCCACGGGGTCAGGAACCGGGTGAGGGAGCCGCACTTGGGGCCTTGTTTCCAGAGGAAGGGTTCCACTTACTCCAGTAGCGGTCACTGTGCAGCTGGTCATCGAGGATGGAGCTCCGGGCCAGGGAGGCGGCCCGGGGGCTGCCGTAGTAGGACTCCCTGACCACGGACTCACTGTAGTATGTGTGTGAGTCCGAGGGGCCCAGCTGGGGTGCCGGGGAGAGGCGCTTCGTGCTGCTGGGTTTCCTCTTCACGGTCCTGCGGTGTCAGCCAGGAGGGAAGAGGAAGGTGAGCCAGGTCAGGAGGAGGATAGGCAGCCAGGCTCCGCACTCCTGCAGTGAGTGGGTTGGCCTTGTTGCTAGGCAACTCACAGCCCCGGGCTACAGACCCGCACAGAGCAGAGCACAGGTAGCTCCCATTATCTCCTCATCTCACCAGCAGGGAGATCGTCCAGGTGATGAGTCAAGATTCAAATCTAGGTCTCTAACTTCAAAGCCAGGCGGTTTTTCTCACGCTTCTAATGATCAGTAATTCCTACAACCCACTGAAAACCCAGACAAGCCCGACCTGCCTCCAGGGGCCTCAGGGGCTGTCTGAGGGCTCCTGTCTGTGAGCGGGCAGGATGAGGAGGGCCCCGCCTCACTCATTTCCTGCTGCCCTGGGACGCCCTCCCCTCCTGGGGCTTGGCTGCCCCTCCTGAGGCCCTGCCCGCGGTGAGACACCGAGTGCAGGTTCCAGGGGGCGTGACGGAGGGCCTGCCCTCACAGCAGCAGGGGTTTCCGGCCGGGCTTTTTCTTGAAGCTGCCTCTCCCCACTTCCTGTTCTCTGAACACGAGGCCGTGGCCTGGCTTACAGGAGGGGGAAGTGGTACTCATCCTGGCCTCCTCACAGGAGTGGATGTCCCCTGGGCTGGACATGGGCGTCTTATCTCTGCCCATGAAGGTCACAACAGGGAGAGGCCGTGCAGGGATGCCCAGCCCTCTGCTCTGCGCAGCAGCACGATCCACGGGGTGGGAGGTGGGGGTTAGGGGTAGGGATTGGGGGTGGGGGGTGGCAATCCCCTACCGGAAAGGACTGTCCTTAAACAGGGTGCTCTGGCTCCCCGCCACCGAGCTCCCGCCACTGCTGCTGCCGCCGTCATCGTCCCCCTGGGAGTAGCGGGTGAGGCGCTGGCTTCGACGAGACATGATGAGGTGGGATGGGGACCCTTCCCCTAAAGAGAGTCTTGGGAGAGAAAGGAGGGCCGGTGAGGCTTGGGGCTGTGCTAGACCCTACCTGGCGGAGGAGAGAGAAGGCATTTTCGCCTTCAAAACAGCCTGCGATGCGGGAGACAGCCCTCCCCACGCCCCTGCAGCCCGCACCTGCCCTGGGCTCACTCGGTGCCCAGGCAGCCTCTTTCCACCAGGTTTGCTCATTTCCAGTTTATCTGTCACTGAGCTCCGTGAGAGCCAGAACTGTCCTTCGCAGCCTTTGGCCTGTGGCACACGAGAGGCACAGGAGATGCTACATGAATGCCTCGATCACTGCTGCCCGCATAGACCCCCAGCCCAGCCGCTCCACTGCACGCCTCTCCCTGGAGCAGGGGCCACTCCCATCCTCGCCGTTTCCGGGGGAACAGGCTTTCCTTTTCTTTCCTGTAGCTCTACTCATGGGCCAGGGCCCCAGTTAAACTGACTCCAGAGACCCTTTCCCAGCCCCAGCCCCCTGCACTCTAACAGGGGCTGTACGCTGGGTCCCCTTGGCTAGTTACTGTCCCGCCGCATCAGGACATCTCGTCGTCATGGTGATGATAAAACACTCAGTAAATGCCTCCTAGGTACCTGGCTCCTACAAACCCATTTCTGATCCTACAAGCAAGGGAGACATCATTAGTGCCATCGTACAGCGGAGGAGCCTGGGACACGGCTGACGGGTGACTTGCCCACAGCCACCCAGCCCCTAAGTGACTGAGCCGGGTTTCGAGCTCAGATCTGACGGGTGACAGGGCTGGCTCTTTCAACCCCACCGTGAAGTGTTCAGGTTGTTTCAGGAGTGTGGTGTGTGGCCCCAACTAGTGTCTCTATAGCCTCAAATATGTTCCGAACAGGCTGTAGATAAAGTTGTTACACAACAGATATTTGTTAACAAACTAACAAAACGGGCAGCGGAGCAGCAGTGTGGGAACCAAGGCTCCGGAACTGATGACGCAAGGGAGGTCCGGGTGAAGGCCTGGCAAAAGGTGCTTTCTGCACTGGCCGGCTTGGCTCAGTGGAAAGAGTGTCGGCCTGCGGACTGGAGGGTCCCGGGTCCCATTCCGGTCAAGGGCATTACCTCGGTTGCAGGCTCCGGCCCTGGATGGAGCATGTGAGAAGGCAACCAATTGATGTGTCTGTCTCTCTCCCTTCCACTCTCGCTAAAAATCAATGGAAAAATATCCTCAGGTGAGGATTAACAACAACAACAAAAAGAACAAATGTGAGCTTTTCTTTAAAAAACGAAAAAACACGTGCGGCCCTGCCACCCAAGGGGGACTAATAAGCTCCAGAAACCCAAATTCAAAATCCCGGATTACAACGTGGAGCGTCACCGTCCACAGCGCCTCTGCCAGCCCGTTACAGCCACGGCGGCCTCGGCCCCCTCGAGAGGGCCTGGTCCTCGACACCTGCTCTCACTTCCAAGACTCCTGGCTGAGGTTTAAATGACTAGTTCTCTCTAACACATCCCGGCTCGGGCTACGGAAACCAGAAGGTCTGGTTAGCCCAGCTGGCCGATTCTGCAAAGTCCTCTTCTGAAAAGCAAGCAGCCTCACATCCTGGCCTCACTGGCGTCTTCTCGGTGGGATGTCTACCTGGCGTCTCCCTCTGGTTCTAGCCGGGCTTGGCAAAGGGCTGCTGGTGTGAGCCGAAGCAGGAAGTGGGCCTGGGTTCTGGTCTCTATTCCACTCCTTATATGGTAACTCCCTCCCCTACTGCCCTCCCCACCTGAGGCTCCAGCTGCCCACACAGCCCCTCCTCTTAACTCCCGCCCCACTGAGTGAAGGCCTCCGCTCTGGGGTAGAAACAAAGCAATGTGTTTACAGTACTGAAGGCCGGGCGGCGAGAACATACATATTCATATGGACATGGGGGGGTGGGAGGGGGGCTGAAAACTGTCAGCGCCTGCAGCCTCCCGAGGCGCCGGTGGCATGCTGGGACCACAGAACAGTGTGCAACTGAGTTTTCACAAGAGGAAAAAGGTCAAGGCTCCTCCTCCAAAACAAAACAGGAGAGAAGCCTCCGGACGCTCCAGTCTTTTGCATATGAGAGTAGACAACGCCCCCAACACACCGGGCCAGGGAAGAAACCGCAGCGAAAACACCCTCCCCGCTTCTGCGCTGAGCCACATCCTTCTCTCAGCGCCACCTTCCTCCAGGCCCGTCACAAACTTACAGGACAGGATCTGCCCCGTGTTCAGACTTGACACAGATCTCGGGTCTCTCCCGCGGGCCATTTCCACGCGGGGCACGCCCCGGGGCCTGGACCGCTCCAGGTGCTAACCACCCCCCGCCCCCCTGAACCGTAGGGATGTTTACACGCCGCCGGCTTCTCTGCTCCAGGTCGCACTCCCGCCCCCTACTTGTCTGGGCTCTTTTTAGAACTCGGCCAAATGGGCTGCTCCTATTCCGAGTTGTGAAAGGCGGAGGCCGAGAACTGCCTGTCCCTGGACGCTGCCCGACTGGCACGAGGACATGGGCACTGCCCTGGGCCGGCTGGAGGCAGCCGGGTCCTCCCTCTCCTCCTCCCGGAGGCTCTGCCCCGGGAAGTCCCGCCTGGAGACATCCG